ACTTGTCACATGGTTAGAATAAAGTACTAACATGAAAGAGATAGATTGTTTTGTTATACACAACCCATCTCTTCTGAATGAAAATATACATACAATATAATCAAACCAAAACATAAATACACAACAAATTTATACATAACAATGATCAAATAATGTACCCACAAAAATGAAATTAATCCGATGAAAAAGGGTTATTTCTAACGAAGTCTGGAACATTATTTTCCAAATAATATACCCATAACAATGTTCAAATAATGTACAACATGAAAGTTAAATTCACAAAGCGAAAGTCAAATTCGCAACACGAAATAAGCGTTGCGATAGTCAAATTCGCAACGCGATTTTTGGTTTGTGAATTTAACTTTCGCGTTGATCGCAACATACAACATCAAGTTATATACAACATCAAACACATTCCAAGCTATAAATACAAGCTAAGGACACTTGAAGAAGCAAGAGAACAACTATCCAAACAATCAAACACAATAGAAAATCCCAACATGATAACAACTGAACATATCATAGCAATGTTCAAACTCAAGTTACTAATGAATGTCTAACTGAAAATGTATGCATTCACACAAAAAATACACATAATATAACGTTTGCATTTAAAAATCACCTAAGTTAATAAGTCCCAAAAGGTGAAGCCGGTTGTGATTGCGATTTTGATTTTGATTGCGATTTTGATTTCCTTTTGCTTGGCACCATATGAACTTTGGAGTTTGATGAGGATCCATTTTTTGGTAGAGGAAAAGATGATTGTGATGGCACTGGTGATCCACAGGTCAACCTTGTATGACCACTTTCCTTGCACCGACTACATGTCGATATCCTCTTCTCTTCACCCTTAGACGGTATACGATCGTGATTTTTTGGTCGGCCATGTAGCCTGTTGTCCATGATTGGTGGCAAAACTGTTTGTAAGTCATATAGTATGTCCCACTCAGAAGGATGTGGACATGGGTAGACAATCTTGGCATAAGTCTGTCGATATACTTCTATAGTGTAGCAATCCATAGCGTATGCCTTGAATCATCTTGGTTTAGATGAAGAGCAACTTTTATAACATGGCCACACGGATAACTAGATATTTTTCATTTCTTACAACTACACGTCTTTGCATTTAGATCGACAAGCCCATTTAAGTTATTATCCAATACTTCAAACAAAGTGTTTGAACATGGTTCAACTCTCCATGACGTTTACTTCACAACATGTTTCGTTATCTTTTTTTCAGTCCATGGTGTAACACGACGTTCCAATGTTCCTGTAAATTTAAATAAATAATACTTAGTAAAATATATGATAAGTTACGAATTTAAAGAAATAATACATGCATGGTTTCTTTTCTTGTAGTACTACTGTTGAATAGAGGCTCGAAAAAACTCCATTAACATAGTAATGGGTAATTTTCGGGAATGACGACTTAGAGCGTTGATTGATTATGCACTATTAGACGTCATGAAACCATATCTTGCTCCAAGTTGATGTACTCTTGACCATCTTTCAAACCCGACATATTCTAGTGTTTGAGCACATTGAGGCAAAACACGTATTAAACAATTTATATGCTTATTAAAATCCACTTCCCAATAAGCTTTTACAGCCTTCCAGTATGTCCATTTGTGATCTTTTATACCAGCATACCTTGATTTTAGATTTCTGTACAAATGAACACCACAAAGTCCATGAAAAGCATCTGGGAAACACCTTCTAACAACGTTGTCAATTGAGTTTGCCTTATCGGATATGATTGTCAGATTGCTAATAGGACCTATGCAATCCCTAAGATGCCCCATAAACCATGTCCATGAATCAGAGGTTTCAGATTTGTCAACCCGTAAGCTATTGGCAGTATCTCATTGTTAGCATCTATGGCTACTGCTAATAAGTTTACTCCAAGGTATCGACTTTTCAAATGTGTTCCGTCAACTATAATAACTGGGCGCATGCAAGTAATAAACGAACGAATCTACAAAATCATATACACAAGAAATATAATCATTTAAATGTGAAATGCATGCAACTAACAAAAATGAGTTAACAAAATTATAATTATTTACTAACCGCAGCACCAATGGCGATAAACAGCAACTCAAAACGTCCATCTCTATCTGTTTTGATATGAGTTACCGACCCAGGATTTTTCAGCTTTAAATTGTGACAATAAGCCGTCAGTTGGGCAAACGATGCTTCTGGCGACCCCCTCAACAATTCCAAGGCATAACATTTGGCTCTCAAAGCTTGAGAATATGAGATACTAATCTTGAACCGAGCATTCATGTCAGTCATAATTTCATATCCCCGATATACCATTCCATTCAAAAACATTAACTCAGCCAGAAATGCACCCAACACCTTTTTGTTTGCCTGTTTATTGTGAGGAAAAACTTGGGTTCTTGAACATGTATGTTTATCAATAAAAGTCCTAGCTTGAAACATTTCACAATCTTTTATCCTCTTTACAATCATACGCCACTCACAGTTTTTGTCAATCATACACCTTGTTTCGAAATGATCTTTGTTTGATTTGTTAACTTTTAGTTGATAGCCATCTTCCACACATTTTGTATACAAAGCTATCTTCAAGTCTTCCTTTGTATCAAAACAATCATCTTTCTTGATACGAATAACTTTTGTGTAACAATCAACTGCTATCTTTACCAACTCTTCTACCGGTATCTGAAGTAATTCTGGCATATTCCAGTTATACTCCCGTGGCATTTTCTTCTTTTTTCTTTCTTCGGGGACTTCTTATTCTTCTTTTTCTTTTTCTTCTTCAGGGTTATATGAATTACAGAATGGATGTTCAACATGTTCATTCACAGTCGTAACTTCCTCCTCATTATCATCAATAACATCTTCCTCGGCATCGGCTGTTTCATCATCAAAATTCGGGTATTGGTCAATATCAAAATCATTACATGCATGGTCTGTTTCTTCTTCCATCACATCATCAAAATCCGAGTATTGACCAAGATCAAAGTCCGGGTATTGACCAAAATCAAATTTCGAATACTGACTAGTACTCACAATTTTTTCTGTTGGCTTATAATCGTCTAACTGGTCAATACGAAAACCGGAATTTGGTGCTGAAAGTTGATTGGGATTTGGATTATAAAAAGGTTGTGGGTTTTGAGATTGTGTTTGATATTGTGTTTGGTATTGGAAATGTAGTGAAACAAAATTTGCTTGGTGATGAACTTGTGGTGGAACCATTAAATTTTGGGTTGAAGAACTTAGTTGATTACTACCCGCTACTGACCCAACTTCACTACTTCTAGGTTCAACAACATACAATGTAACATCATCTTCTTGTGAAACACTAATGTAAGCAATGAATCGTTCAACATCTTTATTGTCGGTTAACAAATAAACTTTACCTTTTCTCTGATAAGATAGCCTAAATCCACTTAGAGGCTCTAAATTCAATTTCTTTGCAACACGTAACATTAGAGTTTCATAAGTTAACTTTTTAATGATAGTTTTAGTTGAAGATTCATGGGTAAAGGCACATATTGTAAAACACTATGAACATTCTCCCATGACCCTCCAAAACACAAATCTATACAAACATGATCAACATTAGATGATTTCATTCTACAAATTGTAAATTAATTTACTAAACAAACGAGCTATAAACTAGATATCATCACTAACTTAGAGAAAAACATACCTTTATTAAGTTGATAGTTGATAATTTAGGAGAGAAATCATTGAAAAATTATATAGAATTAAAATTATGTAAAAAAAAATAGAGATGGGGAAGGATGTCGTTGGATATAGGAACGGATGTCGCCGGAGAGAGTGATAGATGGAGATGAAATGAATTGCGATTTAGGGATTTAGGTTATGAGTTGCTGCTGTTGCGTTGTTATATACCCAAAACATTTGTGTTGCGAAACTAAAACCTGTTGCGAATTTGAAATTCCGCGTTGCGAATTTGAAATTCCGCGTTGCGAATTTGAAATTCCGCGTTGCGAATTTGACTTTGTGTTGCGAATTTGAGTATCGCGTTTCGAATTTGAATTCTGTGTTACGATTTACAAATTCGAGTTGCGATTTACATATTCGCGTTGCGATTTACATATTTGCGTTGCGAAATTAGAAACTGGGTTGCGAAATTGGAAACTGGATTGCGAAATTGGAGTTCGTGTTGCGAATTTGTTGGTCATTTTGGCAAATCCAAAAAAAGTTGGTTAAATTCGTATATTATAAGATATTTTTGGTCACATAGATTATTTTCTCAAATTATAATACATGTGATTCAATGTATGCTCTACCTAATACGGCGAAATTACACAAATATCACAGTAAAAATTAAATATTAGAATAATATTAATTCTCAGCTAATTATTAAATTGACACAATATGATATCGCGTACGATAAAAGTTCATCCAATCAAACATTTTTTTAATAATGTGATTAATTATGTCTTTATTTAAAATGTCTACAGTTTGAGTTTTATTTAATTACGGACTATTAAAATAAAATTAAAAAATGTCCAAAAAGATTATACGAACTTAATTAAAAAAAATGTGTAATATGTCTCGTATATAGTTATATGAGCACTAATTAAAGGATTAATAACGTGTGTAGATATTATCAATAAATTAATGTTTGAAAATATAATATAGAAACACTTAGAAACATGTTACTCAATAGAGAAAAAAATGGTATTCAAACTATATATATTTCTTTTATTTTAAGTGTCTAGAGATTATATTTTTTGTTAAAATAAGTTATCTTATATGATCGATTTATATTCTATATTCGACCATATTCCATATTTGGAGTTTTATTTTCTATCCCAACAATGTTGTCTTCAAGCCTAGATTCTCACCTTAAAGTACAATGTGACTTACCACTGCACCCTATACTTATTCACAGTTAATAGAAAATTGAAGCACCTTAATTACTTGCTCCATTGGATGTTGAAAATTAAGAAAACTATGCAAGTAATTACATAATAATCACATTTTCTAAAATTAAGATGAAAAAAATGATATAATTGATTTATTTAGAGCTGTCATTACAGTAAATACTCTCCAAACGATTATGACAAAGATTAGCATTATTCTAAAATTCACTATATGTACATGTAAAAATTGAATTCTATTTATTGATAAGAATTATACTCTAAAAATGAAAATTCCTATGATTTACCTATACCGTAGATCTCTGATGGCAGGCCCTTTTAATACCCAACCATCACTGCAAATCAATTCAGACAAAACTGCTCAAAGTTATACACACACATATGAGTGTGCGTGTGTATATAGTGCCCTTTTATATCAAGATTCAAGATCCTTCTCCAAAAACCTCTACAATCATACTACATGTGGGTAAAAGAAGTCAATCTTGTTCTTTTGGCAAGTTGCTGTATATCCCGAATCCCAAGCTTTGGAATCACCCTGTTCCGAAACATATCCATGGCTGCCACCATTGATTAACCCATTGATGTTACCTTGCCACCGATCACTAGCAGTCACCGGTGTTTCTTGTGAATGCAATGCAGCCCCTGTATCAGAAGATGTGCACGAATCATCTTGGACCTCTTGTTTCTCGTGCTCTCCTCGCTCATCCCCGAGAGTGTTTTCATGAACCTGAGCCTTGGGATTAGAATCACAGTTGCTAAACAACTTTCCGGAATATGTTTCTGAAACTTTGACATCATCTGCAGCACTATCAAGATCTATATTGTAATTATCACAAGTTTCCGCGGCAGCATTCTCATCAAAAACACACAATCCGTTTTCCCGACACTCATGATGCGGGAAATCTTCTTGACATTCAAAAGACTCAACAACAGAGTCCTCATCTTTGTCTGACAGCACATCATTGTTGTCAGAATCATCAGTCTCTTGCCACTCATCGTTATCACTATCAATACTCATTGATTCACATCTGTTCTGCATAGACCTCTTCCGCAGCATAAACACATTGAAGTAATAACTAACAATATCCATTTTGGTTCGATAAGGGAAAACAGAAGCAAGGGTCTTCCAGAAATTCATCCCCATGGATGCAGGATTAGAGAATACAACTTTGTGGAATAGCTGTTCCTCTTCTTCACTCCATTTATCTGCCACTTGCTCACCCATGTCACAGAAACCAAGCTCCATATATCTCTCGAGCCCAAGAGATTCTCTAAGTTCCTCTCTCCTTTCCAAAATGTGCTGTCTGACACACCTGACAGAATCCTTATCCTCACAATTGCAATCAGTTCTGCCACGTCCAACTTTGTCATCATATGCGGAAGATTCCAAAGAGAGCATAGGAATAATACAAGCTCCCATCAGTTCATTCCCACAGCTACCTGCAGCAGTTTCCAATCCATCAGACTCTTTACGAGTATTTCTCGCATCTGGTAAGTCCTCCCATTCTGGAATATCCGCTTGGTAATTTGGTCCAACAGGAACAGGTTTCCTTGGAGGACATTGCAAAAGTATAGAATATATATCTTCTAAACGATATATTGTTCTTATAGGGCGTTCAGGATTAAAAAATTCTCCATATGAAGCAATGTGAAGTGGTTCCTCTGGCCACGAGTCTTCTTCACCAACACTACAGGTACCCTGGGAAGAAATGGCAATGCAGCCGGGAACATTGGCTTCAAAGTACTCATCTTGTCCCAGGTGTTTAGTATCAATAGCATTTACAAACTTCTCATCGCAATTAATATTAGCGTTTGTGAATCTGCCCTCACCTTTATCAATTACACATTATAATGCAGTAAGAAATAATTGAAAAGAACTAGGGAAAGGGAGAACAAATTTGATATATTTACAACTGAATCATCTAATACACGATGTTACTTAAACAATCACTCTTCTCAGAAGGTAAAATTGTAAAAGACACATGAAAATCAGCTTACAATGAGTTTGATCTATGCATAAGAAATAAACACGTGGGAATAATTAAAAAGCATAGAGGACAGTGACACTAGGTTGAATGGTCCAACTGAATTTAGGATCTAAAAAGGATTCATTTAACTTTTATGAATATGGACTGTTTAGCATCGGGTTTACATCATCCATTACAACACCAGGAATAGGAATGCCAAGTTAAAATGCCCAAATTACAGCCTCAGTGTCCCACATGTAGTTTATTACAGGCTAGAAACTATGTACCTGAACAATCAGAAATCAGGGCTTCAGGGAAAAAAGGTTCTGAAGATAAATCCCCCTGACTACAATCTTCTGCTTGTCTTGATTGCTTGTTTGAAACCTCAGAAGCATCCTCCTCAACAAAAGGTCGCTTATGTACCATGTTGAACTGCACCAAAATGTTAAACTGATGAGAGGACATTAAAAGCAAAAGAATCATTGACAAAATAATCAAACTATAAGCCGAAGCAGGGAAGACAAATGAAGAATGGGGCAATATCAGATTATGCACTATAATAATCTTTGCACAAATAATCCATGATTATTCCACTTGCAACATCAAAACAATGACTCAAAACTCATTAAAATTGGATATGGTAAATGAATATCACAATAATAAACTAAGCACATTCAAGTGCCAAACTAGACAATGAACAACAAAATTTTAGAAATGCACAAACAAACTAATAATCCAAAACACTAAAGAAGCATAAATTCCTTAAACTAACAGCAATCTTACTTTTATAATTTAGATAACAATGTAAAGATTATATATTCATGAAAAAAGGTAGCTTGCTTTAACTACATGTAAAAATGCTTAAAGGCTAATGTCCTATACACACATACACACACGTACATGCATATATATTATATATACATCTATACAAATATGAATACAGTTCATGTATGCATACAAATGCCTGTATATACATTTATGCAGCTATTGTTATTATTATGAGGAAGGGTGAGTAATTTGGGGCATTCTTTTAACAATTTGGTTTATTTAAATTTTACACATGCGAATCTTATATTCAAAATTAACCAGAAAAAACATTTTAATAACTTAGGAAAAGGGGGGCTATCTTGAAATGGTCGATCGGGTTATAATTGAGAAATTGTGACTTAATTAACAAGAAACAAAAGGACCAAAATTGCAATATTAGACGCGAATTGAGTTTTCCCCAAGTTAATCAATCGAAAAATACAAAAGCCCCAATTTCCAGTCAAGCCTAACCCTAGATCCTGAAATTGCCAAAGAAATCTACAAAATTGACGCCGACTCACGAACAAAAAACATATTCCCGACGGATTTATCAGAAAAAAAAAACCTCACAGATCTAGAGATCAAACAATCTTTTACGAATCGAAACCCAGGAATCAAATTACCTCAATAAAAATTGATTCTTTTAAAGAGCTAATTCCAAATCAGAAGCAGAAATCCAGATCTAGAAAATTGCAACCCATAAAAAGGACATGGCGAGCCAAAAAAACAATCGAAATTCACAGATCGATAAACTATTAAAAAAAAGAAGAAAAAACCTAACCGTGGAAACGATCAAAGAATAGGGAAAAACTAAAATAAAAATAGGTTGCGTCAACAGAAAATGAATCAAATGAAAGCTTGATTTCAATAGACATAAATAAATAAGAAATTTAAACCGATCAAAATCGAATCGGGGGATTTCGTTAAAGACGAAGATAGGGGGTAAAATTTAGGGTTACCTTTGTTTTTGTTTTTTGTTTTTCGTAACAGAAATGTCCGAAAACGGAAATATCTTGAAGAAAAGACACGTATCTGGTGATAATTACGTTGAGTGCCACTCAAATAAAAAAGAGAAGGGCGTTGTGGGATCTTTGTAATATGGGGTTTCTTTATAAGCTGTTGGAGGACAGCGATATTTGATGGGGGCAATCTATGGGTGAGTGACACGTCACGTATTCAATGGGTGGGAAAACAATGGGAAAATTTTTCGCAGCTACCGCTTTCAATATTTTTCCTTTTTTGTTTTTCCCTCATGTAAATAGTGGAGGTTGATATTGGTACAATTACTGTTTAGATCCTTTTAATACTTTAATTAAATTAATTAATTTTTGTTCTATTATTTTTTAATTTAAATATTTTCTAAATCTTTTCAGTTTCAAAACTAAATTATAACCTTTATGTTTTAAAATTTTAAATTAATAATTTTGTAATTAGATTCTAACTATCATTTTTTTTATTTATGTTTATTTATAAAAATTCATCCTTATTATATCATTGTCCATATTAAATAGAGGGTCTTTAAGGAAGTCTTTCTTATAATTCTATTAGGTCAATTATCTTTATAGATGTTTGAATTAAACCGCTCCGTCGATCATATAGATATTTAAATGAGAGATTGGTTTAAAATGGCAATGTAAATCTAAAAAAAAATAGTCGAATCAATTTAAAAGATGAAAAAAGATAAAAATGAGAAAAAAATAATTGGATTAGTTTTCTAATTTTTTTTATATATGAGCTGAGTCCCACTAAATTTGAACTTGAACTCGATCTAATCAGACCTACGAAATGTTCTTTGATTTTGGGTTTGGGTTTGTCAAAGTGGGTCCAAATTGAAAGAAAAAAAAAACGAGCTTAAAAGGCTAGGCTAGGCTAAGTAACAAATGGCGGGACCATCACCGAAACTGAAACCTCCACTGCAACATGGAAACTACATAGTATAAAATCACAAAGTTCGAGCTTAAGCTTAAGCTCAAGCTCTTCTCCATTCCCACCATTATCGTATTCAGAAAGGAAATGGAGGCCGGCTGCTCATCTGAACCTAAGGAACCAATGGCCTAAAATGGATTCTTACCGCCAACAATGGCTTTCTTCTTCCTCGTCCGCCAGAACTAACGCCACTTCACTCGTCAACGCTTTGTTTATCTCAAAAGTGATGAAAATACATATTTTATTGTTTTCCCAAATCATTGATTGTATATATATATTTATATTTTTTTGTCTTTTTAATTTTCGTTTTTATCAATCGTTATGATTTCAGATACATGCCTATGATGGAGTTAAGAACTCTAAAGGACGTGCCAGATATTCGAAGAAAAGCTTCTTTGAAGTTATTTAAGCAGCAAGTATGCTATTCTCCTTATCCGAGTTCCATTTTTTCTCTCTCGTTGCATTTTTAAGTTAAATTATGTTAATATATGTTTCATCTTTAATGAAAACGAAAATTTTCTTTAACGTACTTGGGAACTAATCGTACATTTTTCTTGAAATATTCAAATCCAATATGTACCATGACATGATTATGGGTATATTACTATGACCCTACAAATATATAGAAATCTTGGAAAATGTTAAGCATATCTGTTCCCTGTATCCAACCCATACACCTGAATAAAATAGGTGAAGGTTATTTTGATAACTCAGTCTTACTAATTTTTGTACAAAATTGTCGAATTTTGAGTGTGTACTATATTAAAGGCGACCCCATAAGCCAATGGGATTAAAGTTTGGGTTCAGTAACTGCAATAGAAAACTATTGAAATCCATTGTTCTTCAATTCAACACTAAGGGTGTGTTTGTTTGCCGTAAAACTAATTACGGAATTATTTTTCCCGAAATCCTATATTTATTTCATGTAATTTATTTTTCGGAAAATATTTTCCCGTGTTTGTTTCACGTAATTTGTTTTCCGAAAAATGTTTTCCTGTGTTTGTTTCACGTAATTCGTTTTCCGGAACGTAATTCATTTTCCTAGTAACAGAATTTCCTTTGTGTTTTCTGTAAAATGACTTACAGATTCATTTTCCGTAAATCATTTTCCGAACTTTTCACTTCAAAGCAAAAATACTCAAAATAATTTTATTTTATGAATTTAATATTAATAAAATATTTTAATATCATTTTCATCAAAATATTAATTATTAAAATATTTAAAATATATTTATTAATATTTATAATAATATAATATTATATTTTTAGTTCAATAATATAATCAATTATATTATAATAATATAAGATATTATATTTTTATTTTAATAATATATAATAATTTTTTTATATATTTAATAATGAATAATATTATTTATATATTTAAATAATACTTTAGTAAAGATATTTAAAATATACTAATTAATATTTTTAAAATATAATATAACACTTTTACTTTAATAAATAATTAATATAATTTATAATATTTTATTTCACTAAAATATACCAATATTAATATTTTTATTAATAAAATTATAAAAAAATATTTAATAATAAATAAATTATTTTAATATTTTAAAATAATAATATTAAGTTTTATGAGAAATAATATTATTTATTATATTTAATATTTGTAATAAATAATTTTTAAAAAACTCTTCAACTAGTGGAAAAAAAAATTAAATAACATCTTCCAAACATCATAAAACGTTTTCCAGATGTTTTCTAGAAATGTAATTCATTTTCCAAAAATATAATTCATTTTCCAGAATTCAAATTTCAGTAATTCATTTTCGAGTAATTCAAATTCCAGTAATTCAAATTTCAGTAATTCATTTTTCAAAAAATCAATTACAGGCAAACAAACAGACCCTAAAAGAAAATGCTCAAAACCCCAGAAGTTAAGAGCTAAATTCAATTACTAACCATGAGAACGTACTTATTCAGTGAGGTAGTGAGTAATTTCTGTAATTATGTGCCAGATTAATGGTTCTAATCAATCATTTTGGAAACCAAAGTGAAACATACATACAACTATTGGAAATCAAAATGCTTAATCCGATCAGTAAGAAGACTAGTATCTCAGGAATTGAACAATATCAATACCTGCAATGTCAATGTGTTGTTAACATCTAAATGCCTTTTATCATACCTTTTCATTTGTGTGCTTCAATTCTGAACAAAAGAAATTGGAACATAGAAGAGAAGCATGAGGTTGGATAAGAATGGCAGTAAGGGGAAAAATCAATCAGCTTATGATCAAAGTGAGAGACAGTGTACCCTATCAGGGAGATTCCTAGGCATCGGTAGTGCGATAACGTATCTTTGGCCAAAGAATTTGCGAACCTCATCTGCTTGCCCCATGCTATGGAACTTGGAAAAGCGAGTGATGACTGACACCTTCTCTTGATCCTGATATTCCAGTCTTAAGTCTAAGATTGAGGCTTTCTTGACCAGACTGCTTATATAAAGTAAATATTAGAAGGCAATATAATTGGCAAAAAGGTGAAGAATTACAGGTGCAATCTAGCATAGACTTGCAATATTCGACGCAACAAGAATGTAAAAATTACCAGGTATAGTCTAACCCCTAGCAAAATCTTATTTCTAACATAAAGCAAATCATAGAACCATACCAAATTCTGAAAGGATAGATATACAAGACCAGTCATAGCCGAATCAGGGAATATACAGAAACTCAGAGATAGATGACGATGATAAAGAACCTCACTAGTTAAAAAAATAAAGAAACAAAGCAATTAAAACAAAAAAAGAATCTCCTTTAAAGTAATATTAAATTAATGCACCATAATAGAATACAGTTTTCCCAAAGTGCACATAAAATACCCCATTTGCATCTTCCAAAGGATTATTAAGCCTATGCAGGTAAACAATTAACCAAAGGGAAATTAATACAATCCATGGATCCGACAAGCAGGGATCTAAATTGTGGTTGCGGAAGCATTTTCGTTTGTATTGCATTTGTCGCGGTTGCGGATATAACGGATGTTATTGCGGTCATTTCGGGTATCGCGGTGGTGATTTTTTTTTTAAAAAAGAAAGAGCTGATTTTTTTATTAAAAAAAATAAGAATAGCAGAACAATAGCCCTCCGCTATTGCCACGATCTACCACAACCCGTTAAATTGCGACCATGATCCACCGTTATTGGTTTGATTCCGCTTCACACCGCTATTTTCCACAATAGCGGTTTGGGCCACTGCCATTACCACTACCACCGTATAGAGGCCGCTATTCCACAATCCGATCACTATTTGAATCCCCACCGACAAATATACCCTGGGTGACTCGGTTTAGTTAAAAGCTCAACCAATCTGATTATTTGTCACCAATAAATTAACTGATGATATATGATGGCTTGTCACACCCGCGAGGCAACAAAATAATCAAATTGAATGAATGATTTGTGACGGGAAATTCTTGCCACAAAACGTTAAACTTCAAAACTCATATATGTACTATGATGAGATATTATGCATGAAGGTATTGGAAAAAATTAGATACAATACAAGTTACCTCTGTAAACTATCTTCAAGCATCTTTGCTCTGCTGATAAACTCTTCTGCAGCCTTCGAGAGGGATTGATTTCTCTGGTCCCTCTGCTTTTCAGAGAGACTAAAACAGGCAAAAGAGGAAAAAAACATTAGTAAGATGGTATACTAACAAAAAATGATACCATATTTGTGCCAGTAAAAGCAGGCTCAAGGATTCCCAAAATATTTACTTACATGCTTCCATTGAAAGGGGGGACAGCTGTGTCACTTTCAGGTATATATGCCGTGCTACATACATCTCCTAAGACTGATCTGGAAAAAAAATACGACAGAGTCTCATAGTTTTTGCTGGCATATGCAGAAAGCATTACCCTTGGAGGAGCACGAAGTAGTTGCTGCAAAAGTTGTGTTGTCATAACAAGCCTTCTTTTTGACCTAGGCACTGGTGGCCAATCTTCAATGATTTGTGGTTCATCCTCAACCTGCAACTAAGATCAATGTCTGTTAGCTACAAAATATCAGATTGTAAGAAGGTATAACAAACATTCAAATACAGTTGACACTGAACACACCTTCTCAATCAATCGATTTGCTGCATGATCCCATTCTACTTCTGCCACACTGCAACAACAAATAATTCGAAATAGAGGAAACACATGATATGAGAGAAAAGAGCAATTGGTTTAGCATTTTAGTAAATTATTGATGAGAAAGGTTTTACTTTTATCCCTTTGGATCATTGATACATAATGTTAAAAGGATTGCAGAAATTGTGATAATGACTCAACTCACCTGATGTTCTGAGGCCTTTGAGAACCCTGTGTCACTTCTCTATGCCATGGTAGAAACTCAAATGTCATACTCTTGCGCTTTATTGCTCTCACAACCACCGAATTCTGACTTGTGGTATCAGGTGGCAGTGAGTGAGGGGAGATATATTCGGTTGCTATCGGCATAAAGTTTGAGCTTTGTTGGACTTTATCCAATGGACCAGCATCATGCTCACTTGAATGAACATGCATACTGTCAGAAGCCCGACCAACAATGAATGCTTTTTATGTAGCGTTCATCAAGGCAATTTTTAGAGCATTACACATGGGCAACATTTTCCTATTTTTAATTGCCCCATACCGATCAAACCAGGATGGAGCCATATGAGGGCTGATCTGAGAGTTTTCACTGTTGATATTAGCAGTTGAATTATTAGAATTGGAAAAATGTGGGGAATCACACTGAACAAATGCTAGCATATTAGCAGATAACTGTGTCTCATGGTTATCTCCAATGTTTGACAAAGAGCTTAGCACCTTAGAATCTCCAGAAGGAACTAAAGGATGGTTAACCTGAGCATTGGATCCATAGGATAGTTTCTCTGCACTTTGGGAACTTACCTGCTGAGCTTCCAAACTAGAGTCTGGAGGTGGACCTTTAAATCTTTTAATACCCCTGTTACTTGGATCAATCTCTATATTGTTCATTAACTGCTCCAGATGCACATCATTATTTGGTCTTGAATAACAACCAAAACCTTCAGTATCTCTTTGCATGCTTGTAGAATTTTGGCTTGTACTATTCTCTGATAATACCAATCTATTAGTATTAGACATACTTAAAGGTTTAGTGTTCAGCAAAGAAGCATTAGGCAAGTTATTATCACCCCAATTTGATTGTTGTTTGCTGCCATCATTGACAGTTGATGTTGGCATGTTCTAGTTTGGAGGTTCACAATTCTGCATACCCAATCCACTCCCCTGTTCCTGCACCTCTGTGTCATTACTAGATGTTTCTGCAACAGCAGACAGCATAAGAGCACTCCAAATCCCACTTTGCTGAGAAGGAAATCCCCCTAAAGATTTCATACCATCCATTGCTGAACCCACGTTGGTGCTCTTTCCCAAGATATCCCACATACTGTCATCTGAACCAAACAAAATCTTTTCTTCAACCGGATCCAGCGAAGCCATGTGGGAGGAGGATACCTGAATTGCTGAGTTCTCCAGGGATGTTTCTAGAGGACTAGAATGCTCTTGCCTCTGAGAAGACTCCTGCATCACTGTAGTTTGTGGCTGGATAAACATTCGCTGGAAGTTTTCTGAATGAAATACGCTATTTAAACCCTGACCAGCCACAACCCCAAATACATTACTATCCTGATCACGCTGTCTAAAAACCGAAGTTTCATCTTGCAAGCCAACTTGATCTGAAAACATATCATACTGATTATCCAGAAAGGAATAACTGCTGGCTGGCACCTGCTGCATCAAAGGATTGTCCATTTGAACAGAAGAATATTGATATGCATTTCCTATTGCATCGCTTGTAGAAATCCCATAAAATGATTGATCAACCTGTTCAGGAACCATACCCATCAAACAAATCTGACCTTGCCCAGGGGAAAACATACCAGAGGATCCCCGCATGGCTGGAGAGGCATCATGCTGCAGACAATTTGAATTTGGTGCCATGTCCTCAGGCTTCCAGGAATTATTTGAAGCATCATGGAAAGGAACACCATCGATGGGAGAAGGAGAAAGGCTATCTGATATTTTTTTAATAGAGGAAACCTGATTTGCAGAGTTTGACTGCCTTGCTTCTGGAAGCCAAAACTGTGACTTTGGCAGTTGGTGTCTCTGCAATTCTTGCATTATAGCATTATGCTGTAAGAACCGCATGTCAGTCATCCCAGGATGCTGCCTTGGCAAAGGTTGTATCATATCAGGATGTTTTCCACTAAATTGTTGTTCGCCTCCAATAATATCATAATTTATGGGAGATTCAGTTGATTCCAACCTCAATGAATTATTTTTATAAAAATCAGGGACATTTTCTTTTGGTGAATCAAGACTTGATGAGCCCGTAGGAGCTGTATCTTGTCCCAATAAGTTTGGTTCATTCTGCCTTGTCTGGAAAGTCTCATGCCCTTGCATATAGCCATTTACAATTAGTGATTGATTTTGCATTTGGATTCTGGCAATTTCAGGCCTCGGATCTGATTGAGTAGATTTCAGCTCATGTCGCATCATTGACGGCTGACCACTATGTCCTCCGTCAGAGTCTGCTAGTGCTAGCGGAAAATATAATGATGTTAACTAAACAATAGAAACATGTAATGACTATGGACTAAGATCTCAGTACAATAGTAGCGGTACCAGAGCGGTCAGAAACTATAACAACCAAAACGCCTTAATTATTACCTAATTGATGAAAACTTAAATTCTTCAAACTGGAAACAAGAGGCCCACCGGTTTGTCTCTGGCTTCCAACCCACAGATTGTTACTTAAACCACGCCAGCTACTATCAGTTACCTACGATTGCTGCTGGTCAGGGCACAAACTCTCTTGGTCTAGGAAATCACGGATCCTGTCTCCAACTTCGTTGGCAGGCATAGATAATCCAAGCCAAAAACATTCAGAAACTGAACTTTAAATTATTACCTACAAGAAATAAGAATTAAGTTAAAGTTTTTTTTTTGATAGGAATAATAGGCCTCATTAAAAACATCCCTCTTTAGTTAACTCTAGGAAAGAGTAACTAGCGGAAGAAGGAAAAGAGTGTCTTAGTTTATTGAATAGAGAAATTATTACAATAAAGTACACCAATACATTTAGGGCATCATAATCAAACTATAATCTTAAAACACCCTATAAAAATACCCTTACAATCAACCAATCCCATCCTTAGCTAATTTATTTGCTTCCCAATTACATCCCTTGGGAATCCATCGAATAATAACCTCCCTCTCTTGAATTAAGGACACAATATCCTCAACAAGTGAACTGAAGAAACTAGGAACAAAATTAGGCAGCAAAATCCAGTCTACAGCAGATTTACAGTCACTTTCTAAGATCAATCTTCCCTTTACAGCCCATTCTGATGATAGAAAAAAGTCTAAGCCTTTCTTAATAGCTTTTAGTTCAGCCAACGGGGGAGGGCATGGACCAATACTAACAGAGAAAGTCGATAGGATGATGCTAGTACAATCTCTTAAAATACCTCCAATTCCTCCTGCCATCCCATCAACATTAAATTTATAAAAATATGTAAGGGGAGGCTGCTAACTTTGTTACAAATTCCTATGAGTATTCTGATAACCAAGCATGTCTGCTAAAGAGGGGTCCCCTACCAACAAATCAACTTGTATTTGGATATTGGGAAACTTAGCTAAAAACCATTTAGCCAACCTAAATCTTATTAGGAAAAAGAGAGAGGTTATATCAAGGCTAGAATTATCAAACACAACTGAATTCCTTGCCTTCCAAATAGACCAAAGAACTACTCCCGGAATGAATTTCCATATGTTCGAGTTTTTGTTTAAATTAGACCATGAACTTAGCAAAACTTGTGGATCATTAGGCAAAGCTATATAGATGTCCCAAATCTTCAACAATCTGTTCCAAATATCCCCTGCAACTGAACATGAGAAAAAGAGATGTTGGACTGTTTCTTCATTCTTTTTACATAGTGGACATAGTGCGTTTTCCATAGGAACCCCTTTTTCTTCAACTCATTTCTCACTGCCAATTTCTTGTGTATGATTTGCCAAAGGAAGGTTTCTACTCTAGGAGGATCGAAACCTGACCAAACCCATCTTTTCCAAGAAAACCCACCTCCTTGACTATTTGATAGAGCCACCCTGCAGGATTTCACCGAGAACAAACCATCCCCCTTCCCAGACCAAGAAAGAAAATCTTCCATTGAATCAGATAAATTAAAACAATTTAGTGTTGCCATTAGTTCGATCCATTGGTCCAATTCCCAATCACATAAGCTTCTTCTTGTTTGAAGATTCCACACCCATCCATTTACATCAAAGCAACCAAAATCTGCCACCTTACCCCTTTTATTGTTTGATAATGCAAATATCCTGGAAATTGAGTCTTCAAGGGTAGATCATTGACCCAAACATCATTCCAAAACGAAATAGACTTGCCATTTCCCAAATGAGTCTTAGTATTCGATCTCAAACATTCTCCAATGTCATCATCTTTCAAATAATTATTCACAATTCCTTTCCAAATCCAGGAATCTTGAGTCGAAATTCCATTACAGAGCAAACAATCATATGAATCCTCGTTAGATAAAATTTAAATTAGAAACCAAATCAATAAAGATACTAACGACATAAGGCTAGTAATAAATCCAAGCAAGAATCAGTCAACAGAAAAAGAAAAGGCACCCACCTTCCCCACATATTAACAGAAACAAAAACAAACAATAAAAGCATCAAATACTACCATAGCAAGTACAATGAACTCCACATACCAAAAAAAAAGGAAATGGACATTAATGAAGCAGCTAAAGCAAATAAAAAATTTGAAATAGTAACACAAATCCATTATTAACGAGAAATGTAGGAAAACGAAGTAAATATAAACACGAATAAATTAGCACTAAAAAGATACCCTTTCTGAAAGCAGCAAGGACAGAACTATCATAACTTTAGCTCAATTTAAACTTTGAAATTGTTCAAAATAAAATTTATCAGCATCCTTAATTTTCTAGGCAACCAAAGAGTCGCTAAAACTTAAAAAATATGTAAAACTATAAAAAAAACAATAAGCAAGAGAACAAAATACCGAAGCAGCAACAATCAATTCCCGCTCCAACTAAAAGGACAATACAAATAACATAGCTGCCCAAGCCCAGCCATAGAATATCGGAGCCCTAACGGAGATTCAGCGTCTCGAGGAGAAGCATAGAGAAGTGGATTTACAGTAACGTAGTGGAAGCCTTTGAAATTGCTTGAAAATTGTGACAAAAAAAAGTAGTTCGAAAGCGAAAGGGACTACTTTTTTTTAGCTCGATGAGGGAGATAAACTGAGTTTCATTAGAGCGAGTGTTTCAACGATCAGTGAGGACTGAGTAGCAAAATTGAGGTTTTTGATCCGCACGTAAGCTTTGGTGTAAACGAAGATGAGGTTTGGAGTCGAAGCTGAAAGGAAGGGTGGAACAATAAATAAAGGGATAAAACCATTATTTAATCTTTAAACTCGATAACATTTACCAATCTGATCCCTTAAAAAATTCCAAATTAGTCCTGAACTTGAATTTTTTTCTCGATTTTATCCTGTTTGTGATGTTTCACAGTTAAATTGTATCATGTGATGCAACATCAAAATGCCACATGATTAAAATGATTAAAAATCTAAGTTTACGATTAATATGAATGAAAAATATTCAAGGATCAAATTGTAATAAGTAATTATATTCTAGGACTAAATGTTATTTTATTCCAAAAAAGTGGTTTGGAAAACGTCATTGTATAGACTAGTGAGGTTATACAAGGAAGTTAGGTGGTATTGCAAGGAGGATCAGACACGTGTAGAATTATTCAGTGATGCGGCCCAACTTTTAATATGTGAAAGTCTTGGCCGTCTGATGTGCATAAAAGTATCTTTTATTATTCACTTGTTCTCATATAATTTTTAATATGTGGTAAACTACAAATTTCATCCCTCAACTTTAATTGTTTTCTATTTTAGTTATTAAATTTATAAAACTTCGAGTTAATTGCATCACATGCTCTCAAAGTATGACTCTCATTTTAAATTGATCCATAAACTTTTAAATGTCCCAAATTCATCCCTAAACTATGACTATCATTCTAAAAGTCCCCATACTTTTGAATATTTCAATTTCATCCCTAAGATATGACCTTCATTCTGAATTGGTCCTCAAATTTTTTGAACATTTCAATTTCATCCCAAACTATAAATATATGCTAATCACATCCTTGTTAATCAAATCGTTAGACCAAGTTATATTATTCAAAAGTTTAGAAACCAATTTATATTAGTCAAAAGTTTAGAAACCAATTTAGAAAGAGGTTCATTGTTTAGGAATGAAATTATAATGTTCAAAAGTTTAAGGAATAATTTAGAATGATAGTCATAGTTTAGGGATGAAATTAAAATATTCAAAAGTTTAAAGACCAATTTAAAATGAGGGTTATAGTTTGGGGACAAAGGATACAATTAACTCTAAAATTTAATAACCAAGAGGGTGAAAAATTAAACACTGAATACGGAGTTTCTCCATGATAAACACTGAAGAAGTATCAAGGTTTATAGCGACAGATTCAACGCATAAGAATGACAAACAAAACTAGTTCAGAGAACGGAACACTAAAACCAAAACAAATACTCCATTAAAGAACTAAGTTGGATCTCAAAGTTCAAACATTTTACTTCATGCCCTCTTGGCAAAGTCAAACTCTTCATTTCTTGTGTTCTCAGTCAGTGCATCATTTCCCTCATGATCTCCCCCTGTTTCTACTGTGAACCCGTCTTCGCCACCAGCAAATCCCATTCCATCACCTCCGTGTCCGGCTGAAGCACCGGTTACAAAACCATTACCAGATTGATCAAAACTGCTTCCATATGTAACACCACCAGAGCCATAATTATTACCGCCACCGTAATTTCCTTGGCCTCCATAACCACTACCACCGCCACCAGTGTTACCATATCCAGCATTAGCTCCATAATTTCCAGAAAAGAAACCGTTGTTGCTGGCATAGTCTCCACCGCCGCCACCATATCCACTGCCGCCATAACTGCTGTTGAAACCTCCACCTCCAAAGTTGCGAGGAGGTCTCTCAGCTGCGTAGGCTACTTTTACTTGACGACCATGGAGTTCCTGTCAACCAAAAATTCCCATAAATCATCCATACGGATATGAGAACTTAAGCTACTATGTAAAGCCTGTGAACATTCAACACTTATACCCCAACACTTGTACACACCTATATACGGAGATATGATCCTCCAAATACATGGAATAAATTAGAAAACTTCAAACATACTTGTGTTGGACACATAACTACATCTGACACTCACATTATCGATCAAAGTAACATGAAAATCCTTAAAAGCCTATTTACTTTTTACATATTTACCCGTCCATCCAAGGCCTGCATTGCACTGGAAGCATCCTCAGTACTTGTGTAACCGACAAAGCCAAACCCTCTTGACCTACCCGTTTCTCGATCCACAATTACTCTTGCTACAGGAAATATAAAATCAATCAACAGTTTTACAAAGTCCAAACCAGCAAACGGAAATAACAAATCAATAGATAGAAAACCAACAGTGGAAATGGTCAGTGCACCAATAGCATAAGCAGCCGGAAAAGGCAAAACACAAAGTAAGAAACAAATAATCAATTGTAAATTAGCTCGTGGATAATATCAAAAACGTTCACGCAACACGGCTTATACTTCATAAAAAATGTAGACACTAAGTTTTAACCAGCTCGAGACTTTGCGATTCTGTTTACCATGATACTAGCAAGATGAATTTATGATGTCGTACCATCAATAACTTCACCGTATTTGCTAAAAGCTTCTCTCAGACTTTGATCATCCGTTTGGTAAGAAATACCTGCAATTAATAAAATGATCATGAGAAGCCCAGAGAAAACAGGGAATGTAGAATGACTCAAGTGCTAAGTGGAAAGTTCAACAGACCTCCAACAAAAAGTTTTGAGCTTGGCGACGTTGACATGCTTCTAAACACTTGAAAGAGGCCTGGTTTTGATATGGACAACTGAGCATTGACCAGCATACTTGTGGCCTGCCTAAGTATACTCCCAAATTTACTTAAGAGAGTCATTGTTACGGCCTAGAAACCAAATAAATAAACAGATCAGGTCCAGAAAATATACCAACACGACACCGACTAGAAGAACCACCATATGAATGCTTTTAAAATCTCTGACACATCAAATTCTGGATGAACATAAACTAACTTTAACACGATTACGACAAACCAAAATACAAAACACATCATGGATACAGCAGTAATAACAAATCAACAGAAAAAAACTAAGCACCCTATAAAAACATCTGCAATTTCAAAGGAAGTGCATGAAAAAGAAAAAGAACAAAGAGGGTTAATTCTATCAATCAGCCAATCTCGTATATTGTACTAAACAGATATAGCTTTTAAAGAAATGCAGAAGAAAGAGCGATCAACAAACATAAAAAAATCAAATTATGTGATCCAATATTATAATGTAAAATGTAAAACACTAATTTACAATGTTTAAGCTTATGGGTTTGAAACCACAAAAGGGAAAAAGGACCCATTTTTAATTTTATTTTTCCTAATAAACAGCTCTATTCTTCAATCATTCCCCTAAAGAAACCAAGATATTTCATTGATCTTAAGCAATTCCAAAAACAAGCAATCCAAAGCAAATCATTACATGTTAAAATGAAATATTAAAACAATAATATAATACTACAATAAAAACTGAAAAAGGAAACACCTTAAACGATACAACACTGAAAGAAACACTTCCAAAATGAAAAGTGGGTTAACCGAGCAGATTCAAAAAGAAACCTAAGGGTTGTATGGAACTGAAAACCCTTTCTTTCATGTTTGTACCCCCAAGTTTGGTTCAAGAATTGTGAGATTCGCATGGGATGGGAATCCTACATTTTCATGTTTGGTTGGCTAGGAATCTCATTCTTGGTAATGTTTTATTACCAATAGTAGATTTTTTTGGGTATATTACTGGGAATGTCATTACCTCCATTTCCTTAGGTATTGTAATATTACCGACGTTTTGGACTAAAATGTCTTTAATTTTTTTTTATTTTTTTTCAAAAATATCATTCTTCTGTTATTGAATAATAAAAATTCTACGAATGTTAAATTATAAATTTATCCTTAAATTATTTTAGATTTACAAAAAAAGTCTATAATTAAAATTTTATATGAAGTTCAAGGGTTAAAAAAAATTACCCTTTCATTAAACCTTCTTTATATTTTAAATTTTGTAAAAAAATTATATAAATATTATGAATTTAATTTTTTAAAGAAAATATATAAATATTTTACAATTTGTAATATTATACAAATATATAATAAGGATAATTTGATTAAATATATATTCCAATAATCTTTTATTCTTTTAACCAAACACGGTAATCTTACATTCCTGCTAAACCAACCAAACACAAAATACAACATTCACAGTAATCCTATTCCCTGGTAATATTTTATTTCCATTGGTAATCTTACATTCTGTGAACCAAACGCACCTTAAGGTGACATTTGGTTCGTTTGAATGTTTATGAGGGAATTGAAATATGTTTGGTTGGCAGGAAATATAATTGAAATACAATTACATATTCTGTTTGGTTCGCAGACATGTCAGATGAATTTGATTTTATTAATGTAAAATGACAGAATTGCCCTTCTTGTTTTTTTGCTTTATTTTAGTTTATTTTACAACTTACATGTAGTAATATATTATAAAAAATTTAAAAATATTAAATTTTCATTTTATTGATTGATTATTTATTTCAATAAATTATAAAAATCATGCTAATAAACATTATAAGTTGAAATCATCGCAATCAAAATATGTTAATAAGTTACCAAAAGATAGAGCAATATTTCGATACATTCTAATCGGAGTATGTTAATTAGTTACCAAAAAATATACCAAAAACTATTTTTATTCAATACATAAATTAGAAACTCGACCCGACAAGACTCAAAATAATAATAAAAATATTTTTATTCAATAAAAACATTGACTTAATTGGAAAAAAAAATTATATATAGAGGGATATTATTGTAATTATTCTTAAATATATAAGATAAAATTATATATTTTTTTCGGGTCGGTCCTATTTTTTCACCCTAAACCCGAACCCGACCCAACCCTACCTGACCCGAATATCACACTTAAAAAAACCCGACCCGACTCGACTCGAATGTCACACTTAAAAAAGTCAACCCAACTCGAACAAAATAAAGTTTCATCCGACCTGACCCGAATATATGAATTAGAAATCCGACCCGACCCGAAATAATAAAAAAATTATTTAATAAAAACAGTGACTTAATCCGACCCGACCCGAATTATATATATTTTCGGGTCGGTCCGGTTTTTTTCACCCTAAACCCAAACCCGATCCGACCCGACCTGAATATCACACTTAAAAAAACTCGACCCGACTCGACCCGAATATCACACTTAAAAAATCCGACCCTACCAAAATAAAATTTCATCTGACCCGACCCTAATATATGAATTAGAAATCCAACCCGACCCGAAATAATAAAAAAAAATATTTTTATTTAATAAAAACAGTGACTTAATCCAACCCGACCTAAATTATATATATTTTTGGGTCGGTCCGGTTTTTTCACCCTAAACCCGACCCGAATATCACACTTAAAAAAGCTCGATCCGACCCGACCAAAATAAAGTTTCACCCGTCCTGACCCGACCCGATCCGAATATATGAATTAGAAACCCGACACAAAATAATAAAAAAAATATTTTTATTCAATATATGAATAAGTTACCAAATGATTGATGAGGGTAGTATGATCAAATTTCAATTCTCTCCAACAAGGGAATTGAATTCCATCCATTTTTTGATGGAATTCACTTTCCCTCATTTGATGTAATTGAATTCCATCAGAGATTCCATTTTCGTTAAAAAATTTGAACCAAACATAAACATAAAAAAATGATGTAATTGAATTTTAATTTCCACCAACTTCAAAGCTAGGCGGGCGAGATTGAGGCGTCCACAATCAAAATATATTTGCTCTGAAATCTTGTACACGTGTATGTTTTTGGTTGGGCAATGTTTTCCTCGTTGGTAACATGTGGTAATTGTATTAAAAAAATCAGCCCAACGGACCGCCGAGTTTTGGGCCTTTGAAATTTATTACATTTTGATGGACTCCGATTAACTCATATTATAATTTTAAAATAAAATGTTTTCTATTTGATTTTAGGATAAACTACATGCTTAGTACCTAAACTATTAACTTTATTTTATTTTAGTACCTAAACTTTATTATTTTTAAATCTTACCTAACTTTTAGTTTGGATTTCATTTTGATATCTTTCGTTAAAAAATTAACATTATCGTTAAGTTTTTAATGGTGGGTACCAAAATGAAACCTAAACTAAACGTTAGGTATAGCTTTGAAAAAAATAAGTTTGGGTACTAAAATGGAACAAAAGTAATAGTTTAAGTACTAAATGTGTGTAGTTTACCTTTAATTTTAATTATAAAGTTATATAAGTATCAATAAAAATAAATTTTTATTTATCAACTATCAATTAATTCAGTAAGATTAGACTTTAGATGCGTGAAAAATATAAAATTAAAATATAAGTCTATAATAATATATGAAATAATTAATCTGAATTATTCGATCAATGAATCAGATTCTAATAGTTATAAAAAAAATACTATTAGTAAAACAAATTTTTGAGCCATCAAAACTTGGATATTGTCTCAAACTAAAGATTTAATTATGGGTTAAACTATTAATGGTGATATCTTCACATTTATTTATTTTTATGTTAGTTTTATAATTCATATTTGGGATTGTTTCTTATAATATTATTAGCTCCTAAACCTAAATTCCCTCTTTGTGAATTTAATGTATCTTATCACACTATATCTACATCCAAAATTATACCCTTTTTTTTCTTCTTATGTTAGTAAATTATACTACTTTATTAGATTGAATATTTTCATTTTAAGCCCCATTCGACATGGTCTCACCTTTTAAAAAATCTTACTCAATCCGATCAGGAATTATTTTTTAAAAATCTAATATGATAAATCGAAATTTGTCAAATTCAAATCAAATTGTCATCCTTAATCATATAAATAATTACATTATCATGTTCAGTCCTTTAAAAATAATTTTTAATTATTTTATTTAGAAATCATATAATTACATGTAAATTCATTTTAATTATTAAATCTATATAAATAAATACGTTAGCTTTTTGGCGGCTAAAGTTCGTTATTACTATGGATAAAACAGACACACAAATTGCCTACACCAATGGCAGACCCTTCAAATTTTCCCTCTCATCCAACATTTCCTCTCTCTATTCTCTAGTTTACTTTTTTTCTCGATCTTTGTTTTTATTATATTTTTAATTTTTGGATTTCATTGTTTCTGTGTTAGTTGATAAGAGATCGAAAGAAGATTCATTTGATTGCGATTCATCGAAAGGTTATTTGTGTTTTTAAATTTTCAAAGTAAGTTTTGAATTGGTTTTTATCATTTCATTTTGTTAGTTCTTTTTATCATTTGATTCGATTTGTTACTCTATTTGTTTATTCATGTGATTTTGAATTCATATATTCAACAATTATCTACGAGATTTTTTCTTTATTAACGATTAATAAGTGAATTTGTTGAGAAGTTATCCACACCAAACAAGGAATTATGGTTTTCAATGGTTGGATTCTACCCGGAAATTTGTGCAAATAATTCATTCATGTTCATAATTCATTTGTTGTTTTGCTGAAAACAAATAATAGCTTGGAAGTCTTATTTGTGTGTTTAAATTTCAAATTACAGCATGAATTTTTGGTCTTGAGATGGTGAAGGAGTTGAAATTTTTGGCATTGCATCGGCCATGGAATCTGGAAATATGAGTGGAGTTCATGATACCGGCAGTGATTTAAATCTGGACCAAGACGCTACTCCGAGTGAAAATCCTCGAATTTCGGCGGACAAAAAGCCGACAGCCCCCTCTCATTCATCATCACCCGGTGAACATCTGGGTGACTGTAGTGGGGTTACCTCTATTTCCGTAAACAGACAACCCAGTGACAATGATCTGGCCACACCAATTCCTCGAACACCGTCCACTAAACAACCTACCGAAGGCTCGGAGAGGACTCCATCTCACGTCTTTGGTAGAACAACTACTGCAGCTACAAGGGAATGGAGTATGCGTTCCAACGAGTCATTGTTTAGCCTTCACACGGGGAACATGAGTTTCACAACAGAACAATTGAAATTGATATCGAAATCGGGCAAGTTCTGTTGTGGTTATGATTCCACACTTTCCAGTCCTTTGCTGCCGGAAACCCCATGGAACAATATGTCAGCAACTGAATTTGCTAGGCATGGTGGTAACTTGAACCTAAACAGTGAATCATTGCTTAGTATCCGCACAGGGAACATGAGTTTCACAAGCGACCAAATGAATTGGATGTCAAAATCGGGCGAGTTGAATATCTGTTTCGATCCCACAAACTCTGGTCGGCTCCCGGACACTCCATGTAAGAATCAGACAGTGGCTGAAATTAACGAGGGCTGTGATGGAAAAAACGAAGCAGAAGCAACCGACACAGTGGAGAAAGAACCTCGGGTTCGTAAACACAGCGTTAATAAAGAACTATCTCTTTCTATGCCTCGAGATTCAGAAGCAACAGAATCCCAGCATCACGAGGGCGATGTTCATCAAGAGCCAACTGATGCAAGTGTCAAAGCTTTTGCCTTCCCTATGTAAGCTCTCACTTCTCAAACTGAATGTTTTCGGTCTTCGTTTTTAGGTTTCGGGTTTTGATAAATACTTCGTACATTTAAGAAACTGCAGGTATCCTATCGTATTACAGTAACATACTGAATTATTCTTTACTTGTGACAAAGATTGACAGGAGATGCAGATAAAAACGGATCGTCCACACAGAGTACAGAGCAAACCCAACAATCACAGTGCTCCACCACTGAAACCCCAGAGACACTTTCAGAAGCGGCTAACAAAACAGAGACAACCCCAGAAACACCAAAGCTAGGGTCCCCTAAAGAAACCCGAGAGAGCACTTCGGGTAACCCGAAGCCTCAGTCACCTGCAGCAACCAGAAAATGGCTCGCTTGCTTCTCTTGTTGCACCGCCAGTGCCACCCCTTGAAAGAACACTGTATTGGAATCAATGACTCAAATGGCTTAAACATGGTTTGTTTTTCAAGCACTATGGATTCTGTGTTAGTACAAGTTCATAAGGGCTTCTTTCACTGCCTTTCGTGTAGTTCTGCAGTTTTTTTTATTTATTTTGTTATTGCTTTATTCATCGAGTTCAAGAACATGTAGATGCTTCTATCTTAATAGAGTTTATTTAATTTTTCATTTTTCTCACATTATATTTAGTATGAAACAAACATGTATATAGTTAGAATGAAAAACCCCATCAAGTCTGGTTCAAAGAGCTCGAACTTGATTAAAATTTATCCGAACTTCGAGCCACTAATTGCAGTCAAACTCAAGCTTCTTATGGCTAAGATTAGTTACACCGCCTATAATTCACGCATAAGCTATTGTTTGATGCTTTCACGTCAATAAATGTATGTAATAAGGAAAGATTTGAGAGCCATCAAAGATATCAAGGAATATAAAAAATATTTAACTCATTCATAACCGATGAAATTTGTGAAGATAAAAAACTTTGAATCTTTAGCTCCTAATCGTTGTTTATACTGTCAAAAAAATCTGGTCACTTTCTCAGCTAATGTCTGAAAACATATAAAATCAGGGTTTTGGGACCCCACCTTGACGGCCACCCCTTCCGTTCTGATTAGCCCGTTGATAACTGTCTCCGTTCCATCCACCTGGACCTTTGGGTCGACCCGAAAACTCACCCTGGTTTCTGAATTCATTCCTGCGGCTGCCATAGCCTCCTCCTCGGCCACTGCCGAAGTTCCCTCGACCACGGAAACTGTCACTCCGAAAGGCACCTTTACCTGATGCATACCTACCTCTTCCACTGCTAACAACTGCAAAAAGAAGCAGTTTTCTCAAGTATATACACACGAACATATTGCATAATAGCGACCTAGTTGAGAACATATTTGCCTAATCTAAGTACAATCACTGGATCAACTAAAAACTTGAACACATGCAAAAATATTATTAGTAAAAATGGATTTTTTTAATAAATAGTGTCAAAGGCATTTCTTCCAAATGAAATTTGAATTACCTTGGGTACTTGTCCTCTTTTCTTCCACAACGGCTTGATTATCCCCAATTGTAATCGGCGAGGCCTGAAATGCCATTCAGCACAATATTAAATTCAAATAATATTCACATAAAACACCAAGCAGAGGTCCCTGATTAATATCATAGTTAAGTTTAGCCACAAAATCAGTGACAGCTGAGAGAGGGGAAAATAAAGGATGATTGTAATTAAACCTTCGATTTAGAATCTTAGAATTGTAGACCAGGTATACTCATTAGTGTACTTTTTATGACGTCCATTAAATAAAATTTAACATTTTGATTTTTTTAATATTTTAATCCAACTTAATTCAACAAGGCTGCATATAAGTACAAAGTGAAAGATACATAAGGTTAAGGAGAATATCAGATGTAAATGTACAAGACTCGGTAAAGGTGCCTGTTTCATGGCTATATAGTGCCCAGAAGTAGCAAAAGAAATGAAAGAGAAGCCAACTATGTTACTTGGACTCGGAAATGCTAGACACAGGTATGTCCGTATGTGCAATTTTTTTCCTTTATTCCAAGATTTCCATGTACTGAGAGAATCGGAGGAACATATTCACCGTATCAGACTTCAAGTTTGTATCTATTTTTTGGACTAGCTGATTTAATTACATACACAAAAGGTAATGTTTTCTTGACGAAAGTTCTAGATAGAATCATCTAACCAGATACTTCTCAAGTGATCGAAAGGCCCACAATTCAGGCAATCCATTCAATCATACTGTCACTAGGAAGAAATTTGATCAAGGATTTGTGTTCTGTTTCTTGTTTCAGGAAATCCTACAGTTGAAGAGAGCTTAATCTGATAAACAAGTACATTTCTGTTTCAGTCTTAAGAGGAATAAATTAGCATACTCGCCACACATACAGCATTTGTTTGGTAGACTAAAATTGTGAATAGGTGATTGAATGGAAGAGTGACACAATAGTAATCATGATGGCACCACATTTATAACAGGAGTGATAAGAGGTATGAGACGATACCTCGAGTGCACTCTGCACTGAACTCGGAGTCTCAAATTCAACAAAACCAAAAGTAAATCCCTGCTGCAGGAAGCAAGAAACGCATAAAAACAGTAAGAACTGAGAACTTGAACTAGAAATGTCAAAAAGGAAAGAGAAGCCCAAACTGATATCTTAGTTAACCTTATTACTTCTGACTTGGATGCCATTGTGCTTAATGGGCCCAAATTTTTTGAAAGCCTCCTCAAGTTGTGCAGGTGTTGCATTGTAAGGCAAATTCCGCACATATATGGAGTGTCCTTCAGCTTAGGCAACAAAGCACACGAGGTTTATATTTTAAAATAAGAAAGAATACGCATCAAGCATATCAAAGAGAAAAATCAGTATGACATAAAATTAAGCATGCCAAAATCAAGTATGGCATCTTTACTCACTTACTGGATAATTGATTAAAATAGAAAACATTTGGATCTAACTTCATCAATAAAGAAAACAACATATTCGGATAAAAATGTAAGTGTCAAATATCGTTATTTGTTCAAAACGGGTATGTTATTTATTTTTTAAATGTTTCAATGTATTTGGGGGATTAAAAGGTCATATCACCATACCCATGTCCATATGTACGTTGGACACAGATACTTCATGAGAAATGAAGAGTTGGAACAACACAGAGAACAACTGTTCTACTATCATGCGTCATAAATGAAATTAACAATTACCTTCCTCGTTCTCATTGCTACTTTCAACTGCATTATCACTATTAGGAACAGCCACCAATGGTGTTGTTGGAGCAGGTTTTGCAGAAACGGTTGACTGTTGCTCTGCAGGTGCAGCCCTCACATTTCTGGTAGTTACATGGACAGGGGTAGATGATGCACTACCTTTCATCACTTTGACCTAATATACAATTCAGTAAATTCAGTTATACATCAAAAGAACCATCAAAACATGAATAGAGAATAAAAAGAGTTAACATTAACTCACAATTGAAGCATAAGATTTCTTTGGAGCATCTTCTAGAACCGCAGGAGCTGAATCATCAGCCACAACACTCTCATTCTGACTGGCAATGTTTTGGGGTACAACAACCTCCTCTTCAATTACCGATCCTTCCTCCTCATCTGAAGGGTCACAAACTTCAGCACCATTATTAATATCTTCCTCTTCCGGATTAGCTAATGGATCCTCCACAAGATGGTCATGAGAGGGCCCTGGATGCAAAATTTAAAGCAATTCCATGATTTGAGCATAGAGAAAACATAACCAAATTACAAAAAAATGAATCAGGTCAAACCTGGTTCAGGTTTCAGGGCAGATATTGAACCCTGTTCACTGACACCATTAACCGGAACAGTGTTTTGCAACTCCGTGTCTTCAATGTACCTGAAAATGTCATTCAAGACAAAGTAGCCTTTGTCTTGTGGAGCTAGAAAGAAGGTTTGAGTGAATTTCTTTCTAATATTGTCCTTCCCCGTAAAGCATCCAGTTACCACTACAATGACCCCTTTCTCAAAAGAGTCCTGAGCATCCACAGTTTTTATCTCTGCTGCATAGTCCTCGTAATTCAGCGATAGCACCTTCTCATTAATTGCCTGCTCCAGAGAAAACATAAGTAGACTAGTCAATAAAACCATGTTAAAGATAAGTTATGGTTATATAAAAAAAAGTATTCAAATTATAAAATTTAATATTATTATATAAAATGTCTCCAGAAGCAAACACGTGATAAAATATCCATTACTAAAGTTTAACATATGCAACTAAAATGGTATAAATATCCATGTTTTTTGAAGAAATTTTCAATAAACTTTATTACAAATTTTTCAATAACCTGCAACCAGCTTAGTCTAGAAGCATCATCTCCTGCACAGACGCCATACAGTTTTGAATTCTTGATAACAGTATGCTCATGCACGCTCATATAGAAAATTATCTTTACTCCTAACTAAACTTACTTGCATTGTTGTTACTGTAGTCATGTTGCCGTACATATCAGGCCGACTTAAGTGACTTGAATCTTGATAAAATCTATGCACCAGATTTGGTGATTGGTGAAGGATATGGTAATACTGCTCCACGAAAGCATTTCCAACAACTTGAGCACTAGGAGTATGAATATTGGCAGGACTTCCTTCCTGCATGGCCATCTGCACATAATTTTCAAGGAATCAATAAATGAAACTTCAACTAAGGATCGTTTGATGACGACATAAAGGAAACATGAAAAAAGCACTTATTGCAAGTAATATTTAGAAATTACACTAAAACATACAAGTAGGGATCATCAAAATGTTTGCGTAACCCAAAAATGCCGAAGAAATTCGAATATGAATATTCAACTTCTTAGACAACTTTGACCGAAATAAACCATAACATGAAGACATAGAGATGTAAGAAACAAACCCCTTTTTCCACCATAAAACTACCTCACAGTCTAATATATATTTGTTTTAACATAAGTAATTAAAGTCCTCAGCATAAATTCTCAACCATTAAACACTATACTCCAGATTTTCAAGCCATAAACGACTAACCAATAAACACCCATCACTAAAAACAAATTATTTTTAAAAAATAAAAAGGCATGTATATAGTTCTTTCCATCTAAAAGGAACTAAGACTGATTCAAAGCAGAAGGCTCAAAAAAAACTTTACAGAAATGAAAAAGTATGAAACAGATTTAACAACCAAATTCAACAGGAAGATTGGAATTAATCAGAACTGTTTTCTCTGATAAGAATTGTTTGGCCCTCATTGATAAAATAAAAGCAAGGTTGTATCATTGGTCTTCTAAATCCCTCAGTTATGCAGGAAGATTGGAATTAATCAGAACTGTTTTATCTAGTCTTACCAACTACTGGTGTAGACAAATTTTCCTGCCTCATTCTGTTCTTAAAAAGGTTGAACAATTATGTTCACGATTTTTTTGGAAAGGAGCTGATCAAAAAGCATCTAGAGCTAGAGTTAGTTGGCACAATGTTTGTCTCCTGAAATCTGAGGGAGGGCTTGGAATCAAAGATATTAAGACTTGGAACAAAGCTTGTATGCTCCTTCTTATTAAAAAGATTCTCGCAGGTGAAGGTTCACTATGAGTGGCATGGATTAATGCTATGTCCTCAAAGATAAGGACTTCTGGAATATTGATATCCATTCATCTCTAAGCTGGAGCTTAAAGAAACTCCTTAAATTGAGACCAGAGGCTCACCCTATTCTGACAGCTGGAGCTACGAAAGTGAGTGTCATTTGGGAGGCTATTTGGGAAAAGAGACCTCTAGTTCCCTGGCAGAAAATTATTTGGTTCCCTCTGCATATACCTAAGCATAGTTTAATCTCATGGATGGCTTTCCTTGATAGACTTCCTACAAAGGATAGACTCCACCGTATGGGGCTTATCAACGACTGCAAATGTGTGTTTTGTGATGATCCTCTGTAAACAAGAGACCATTTGTTCCTCCTATGTCCTATGGCAGACTTCTTGTGGAAATCATTCTTCTCTCTTTCTGGCCTTCAGTTTATATCTCAAACATGGGATTCTTTTTGTGCGTGGGCAAGTTCTTCTTGGAAAGGAAAATCTCTGCTCACTTCGATTTTGAAGATAGCACTTAATGCTACTATCTACTTTCTGTGGGATGAAAGAAACAAAAGATTGTTTCAAGGCCGATCTAAAAATGCACAAGAACTGTTCCGTGCCATTAAGGATATTGTATGATTACAGTTATGGAATATGAACTTAAATAGAGATGATAATGTTAACATTACTCTTAGTAAGAATTGGGATATAATGTGGTCTTTGATTCTTTTTGTAAGTAGGTTGTTTCACTGTATCCAAACGCTGATTTTTTGTAGCAGGTTTGCTATTAGGGTAATAAAATTAAATTATCCAAAAAAAATCAACAGACAGGCACAATCTTTCAGTCGATTAGCATATCAATCAAATACTGTAGATCAAACGGATATCGACTGGAAAAAATATATGGGATGAAAGCATTATCGAAAGTACCTGATTCGTGGGTGATTTGAGATTAAGATAGAGAGAGCGCGAGAGATATCTGTAAGCGTGAGCTTTCAAACAAAGTAGGGAGTGAGATAGCGAAGCCCCAAAAGCGAATAACGGGATGCTTTGAGTACGAAGCAGGAAATGCAAAGGACAATAGCAAGAAATGCCAGAGAGAAGATACTGAAAATTAAAAATGTGAAAATCTACCGAAAGGTTTTGCTCTGAATTCATCATCGGTGGCAAGTTGTTCACCCATGAAGAGAAACAAAAAAGAAAAATCAAAAGGCATCAAAGACTACCATAGCAAGCTCAATGAAGTCCAAATACAACAAAAATGAGAGTAACATTCAAGAAGCAACCAAAGCAACCACTAAATGTGAAATGTAGGAAACTAGATTAAAAATAAAAACACGAAAAAAATAAGCATGAAAAAAATTATAGTATTTCACAGTGTGAAGAGAAGAACAATCATATGTTTTGATCAATTTAAACTTCGCAGTTGCTCAAAGTAAAAATTCCCTCAGTATCCTCCAATTTTCTAGGCAATCAAACAGACGCCAATACTCAAACATTACGTGAATAAAACTCAAATTTCTAAACAAGGCAACAAAAGATCGAAACAACAGCAAGCAAATCCCACCCCAACTAAAACGACAACACAGATAACGTAACTACCCAGCCCTAGGACACCGGAGCCCTAACACATATTCAGCATCTCGATATGAGCTAGACAAACATAGACATTGTATTTTCTGGATAAATGAAGATAACTGAACTTACAGTAACGTAGAGAAGCCTTCGAAATTGAGCTCGAAAAATCGATCTTGAAGTGTGTCAAAATTGTGGGGAAAAAAACCAAAAAGTTAGGGTTTGAAAGCGAAGGAGATTCTTTTAGCTGAAGAGAGATAAAGTGAATTAATTAGTGCGAAAATTTCCACGATCAGAGAGAGAGAGAGAGAGAGAGGTGAGCAGCGAAATGAGGTTTGGATCCGAAGGTGAGGTTTGAAGCCGAAGCTGAGAGGGATAGAAGAGAGATGGTCGGTTAACCAAATTAAATCAAATCGATTTAGCACACAGTCTCAGTTTTAGCATTTAAAAATTTAATTATTAGAAATAAATATTATTAATCTGAAATATTTTTAATAGAATTTTATTGATATGATGATCTATGATATTAATATGACAATCTATTGTATATGATAACATGAAAGAAGAATTTAAGAGGTTAAATAAAAAATAAAACTTTAAGAATCTATTAACACATATTCAAAATCTTGAGGGGTGTTTGGTTCAAAGATTGTGGGATTCACATACCATGGGAATCTCACATTCCCATGTTTGGTTGGCCGGGAATCTCATTCCCGGTAATGTTTTATTACCAATAATAGATTTTTTGGGATATATTACCGGGAATGTCATTACCTCCCTTCCTTTAGGTATTGTAACATTACCGGCATTTTGGACTAAAATGCCCTTAAATTTTTATTTTTTTTCAAAAATATCAATCTCTGTTATTGAATAATAAAAATTATTCGAAGGTTAAATTACAAATTTATCCTTAAATTATTTTATATTTACAAAAAAAAATCTATAATTAAAATTTTATATGAAGTTCAGGGGTTAAAAATTTTTTACCCTTTCATTAAACCCTTTTTATATTTTTAATTTTATAAAAAAATTATATAAATATTATAAATTTAATTTGTTAAAGAAAATGTATAAATATTTTACAATTTGTAATACTATACAAATATGTAATAAGGACCCTGAGAGTAATACTAAATTATAGAATAATTTTACTCATTTTTGTTGTATTTGGACTTCATTGAGCTTGCTATGGTAGTCTTTGATGCCTTTTGATTTTTCTTTTTTGTTTCTCTTCATGGGTGAACAACTTGCCACCGATGATGAATTCAGAGCAAAACCTTTCGGTAGATTGACTGCCTTAATGCATGGAAATTTATATCCATAATATCGTCTTTTAATTTATGCTTACTTGGTTGTGTTGAGGTGCCATGTAATAAGCTTTGAGAATGCACATGAGTGTGGGCTAGAAAAAGTTCGAATGGAACTAAAGTTATTTGTTATATAGTTCTGGTTTGGTTTCATGAAAATGGCTGACCTATAGTAGTTAACTTGAGGAGAATGTCAAGCTTTGAGAATTTAGATTGATTGCCAAAAAGTGGAGGTTCTATATGAAAAAATGTGTGGTCATTCACATTGTTGACTAATCCGTGGATAATGTGAGATAATTCACCTTTGTTCGGTGTGCTACCGCGCTTTTGGTACTTAGTTCTTCACCTCTTCTTGTTCCATACAGGAAATAGATTTATGTCTCCTTTTGTCTTGGTAGTTTCATACAACAGAATGGAAGGCATCTCTGTTTTCTTTACTTCTAGGTGAAGGAAAGATATTTACATCAAGCATATTTGTTTTACTGGGATAGGGTGAAAATTGAATGTTAATAAGTTATTTCTCTTTTTTCTCAAAATTAAAATAATTATAACATGACTTCTTTTTCACACCGAACTAATATTTTGATTTGGCATCAAAATGAAGAAGCCGCATAAGTCACCATGGGCTTTCAAATAAATAGTGTGGATTTAGGGTATGTTTCTGTCAACTTTGAAGCATGCTCTTTTAAAATGCCAAGCATGATTTATTTTACCGAGAACCAAATAGATATAAATTTAATAAGTGCAAATCTTTCTTGTGTTTTTCATATTGTCAACAAAATTGGTTGCATACTTTATTCAAGGTCTGTTACTGTCAGTTTTAATAATCCAAGAGTAAACACACCCTCGAAATTAAAAGATTTAAAAAAAAAATATTATATGGTTCAAGAATTTTGAGAATTGTTTTATTGAATAAGTTTTATTTGAAGCTTATTAGTTATTGATATTGTGTCCAGCTGCTATTTTATATGTTTGGTGGATTCCCCTTTTTTCGACATTTTAATACTTGTCAGTACACTGTCTTCGGAAATGAAGAAAATAGAAGTGGAATTGTTGCTTTAATTTTTGTTTCCATGAAGATGTGATATGTTGGTTTTATGAATGTAAGATAAGGTTGAGTTTTCAAACTTTTGGTCTCCGTAATGGAATTTCAGGCATGTGAAAACTTTAACATTGTTCTTATTTCTTGCAGGTAGTAATTTTCTTCTCCCAAAATTTTATCTTTGAAATATATTTTGGCTTGGATTACCTATGCCTGGTAATGGAATTGGGGACAGGATCCATAATTTCCTTGGCCAAGAGAGTTTCTCCCAGGACCAGCATCAATCACAGGTTGGCTTAATTAACAGTTTGTGGGTTGGAATCCAGAGACAAGTTGGTGGACCTCTTGTTTCCAGTTTGAAAAATTCAAGTGTTCATCAATTAGGTAATAATTAATGCATTTTGGACTGTTCTAGTTTCTACTTGCTCTGGTACAACAATTATTGTTCCAAGGTCTTAGTTCGTTGTTGTTACATACTTCTAAACCACATTTTAGTTGACACTATAATATTTTCCTTTGGCATTAGCAGAGCCTGACAGAGGACATAGTGGTCAGTCTTCAAGCCTGCTGCATGGGCTGAACTTCACAAAATCAGGTCCAAGGCCTGAAATTGCTAGAACTCAATCAAAAAACCAATCATCAATTGCAAATGGCTATAATCAAGGGCATCAGTCTTTCCAGGCAAGGCAGAAGGAAACAAACTTATTGGGAGTGGATATGGCACCTAGAAGTTTATCAGTTCTTGATTCACCAATAGGAAATGGCCCTGATTTTCATCAAAAGAATCAATTGAGGTTGGAATCCACTGAATCTCGCAAAAATTATGAATTTTTTGGAGCACAACAACAGATTAGTGGACAGCATCCTGTCCAATCATTGAGGCAGCAATCAGGAATGACTGATATGCAGCTGCTACAGAAACATGCTATATTGCGAGAATTACTGAGACAACAACTTCCAAAGTCACATTTTCACCTACCAGAAACAAGGCAGTTGAGCTCTACGGATCAGGTTTCCGCTGTTGCTAGACAGGTATCAGATGGTCTCTGTCCAGTTCCAATCAATGGTGTTCCTGTCCGTGATGCTTTAAATTATACCTGGCAGCCTGTGTACATGTCACCAAATGCAAATTGGCTACAACATGGTGCCTCTTCAGCCATGCAGCGATCCTCTGGTGGACGTATGTTTTCCCCTGAGCAAGGCCAGAAGCATTTGATGGGTTTGGTTCCTCAACAAGTTGATCAATCATTTTATGGGATTTCTACGGGTAGTGCAAGTGGAATTCCACATCAGTACTCTTCTCTCCAACTGGATAAGGGTTTAATGCAGCAGGTGCCAGCCAGCAGTAATTCCTTTCCAGGTAATCAGTATGCTATGTTTTCAGATCAAGTTGGCTTGCAAGATGGAACTTTGGTTTCTAGACAAGGTGATCAGGATAAAAATGTATTTGGTGCTGTGACTGCTCAAGGTTTAAATAGTCTATTTCTTTCAGAAAACTTACAGCAAACGATTATCCGGCCAAAAAATGCAGTGATGCAGGAGTCTCCCCAGAGGAGAGATCATTGCAGTCCTCCAGAAACATCCCTGGAGAAGTCAGCAATTCAGGTTTCCTCCTCCCAGAATGTGGCTACACTGGACCCAACTGAAGAAAAGATTTTGTTTGGTTCAGATGACAGTATGTGGGATGTCTTTGGAAAGAGCACCAACCTGGGTTCAGCGTTGGATAGTACAGAGTCTTTAGGGGGATTTCCTTCTCTGCAAAGTGGAAGTTGGAGTGCTCTTATGCAGTCTGCTGTAGCAGAAACATCCAGTAACGATATAGGGGTACAGGAAGAGTGGATTGGTTTAGATTTGCAGAATTGCGAACCTCCAAGTGGAAGCATGCCAGCATCAATTTTCAATGATGGCAGCAAACAGCAATCCCCTTGGGCTTATGACAACTTCCACAATGCCTTGACACTGAGCTCTAAACCTTTACCCATGTCTATAGGTGTCAATATCAATCTTGACTTTTGTAGTGTTTCTGAGGTTCAGCAATTAGGAGCCCAGATTGCAAATGAACAGACAAGGAGAATGAAAAATGATTCCCCTCGTAGATTTGTTCAACAATCAACAGAAGAACGAAGCAAATGGTTATATCAGAGCCCTCAACAAAAGCATGTAGCTGAAAGTGTTCAATGCTTAGGGAATGTTGCTCAGGGTCCTAATGTGCAAGTAAGTGCAAAGAGCATTTCAAATTCCCAAGGAATAGCTGCATATGATCCTCGTGGTCAGATTCACAATAAGCCAAACAACTGGAACTTCATTGAATCTGCATCACATGGTGGTGGTGCCATTGCAAAAAGTCGAGATACTGAAAGCTCATTGCAACGTTCTCAGAATAATGATAACGGAGGTTCTATGTATGCGACAGGTCATGGTTCTGCTCTTGATCGTCCTGTTCCTTATTCTAATATTGAATCACGGAATGTGAATTCTGGCTTCGGAAGCCCAGAAGTGAATAAGGAAGGTTTTGATCAGGGCAACATTGCCGCAATAACAGATTCAAGAACAAGACGGGTCACCAATGAGAGTAGCCAGCAACTTCCAAACAGCCAAAATCTTATTCTCTGGAGAAGTATTAATTCTAAAGTAAACTCTGGACAAAGCGGGGTGCAAGCAGAATATCAGCAAAATCTGTATAAGATCCCTCAAACTTTGGATTCATCTGGAAATAATTATTTGGAGAAGGGAGTGTCTGAAACAAATATGGATAACCTTAGTGTAAAAGAAAACTCAAGTGACAGTATTCGCTCTAACTTATCCCAGCATACGTCCACCAGTGGCATTAGAGACAATGTCTGGTTAGATGCGAATGATCCACTGGGAGGAAAACAGAAGTCATCTGTTCAAGCTAGTCATAAGCCTTATAGAACCTGTAAATTTCAGTATCATCCTATGGAGGATCTGGATTCAGAGGTTGAACCTTCTTATGGGCAGTCAAAATATACTTGTCATGCTGCTGGAGAGTCTACAGACACTGAGAAGGTTAGTTTCTTTGCTCGGTCATATATGTAAATAGCGTGAAATTTCCAACTTCCTTTGTTTGGTCATTCTTTTATCAACTTTTTTCTCTGCATATGGGGATTGTTTTCAGGGCATTCAAGCAGATGAGGTACCTTCCAAAAGTTCAAACCGTTGTTCTGCGCCTGAGAAATCTTTTGTTGGTTTTGTGCCAAACAAGACAGCACCAATTAGGTAGGTGAATATTTGTGGTTCTCAATCTTTAGCTTGACTTGAACATTGATTTTCTCAAATTTTATTATGGATGTAACTTAGATGTAAGAAATTGTTTGAATTGTATTACTATGATAGGAAAAACTCATTCACCATCATCATCATCATCATCATTTGGTATTTGAAATTTTGTTTTATTTGGTACTGCCAGCTCTTCTGCTTTCCTTATTATTACTTTTGTGCTGGTTTCCTCTTTTTTCCTTTTTTGTGCACCGAGTATTCCAAATTTTTGCAGTAAAAATATGTTAGAGCTTTTTCAAAAGGTCGATCAGACAAGGGAACATGGTACTGCAACACACTTAAGCTCTTCTGATCGCAATCAATCATCTGAAATGCCAGATGCAGAAACTTCTGATGGATCAGTAGGCCAGTTCGAGTATAATAAACCTTCTGCATCTCAGGGTTTTGGTTTAAAACTGGGTCCTCCATCTCGAAGGTTCACTGTTCTGGATCAAGTAATTTCATCTGAGTTCTCTGCAAGGAGTTAATTCTTTAAATTCGGTTCATGTCTCTTCTGAGTTAGGAAGGAAGGATCATACATGGGTGGGTCCAACAGCTTCTATTCAGTCCTCAACTCATGGAGCAACCCGTGAAGATACTAGGAATAAAGGCTCACAACATAATATCCAGGAAAACGTCTGTTGGATTTACCTCTGGTTATCCTTATTTGAAAGGTCATATTCAAAGCCTGCATGCTATTGGTGCCAGTAGACAAGTAACACCCGATGAATCTTTCAATGCAACTTTTGATGGGTTGGCATCTCATTTGAAGCAGATTGATGACTCTTCTGAGAGAGCTCAAACTATTCGATTGGGAATGAAATCAGCACCTCATATACCCAAAACTTCTCCCGATAATGACTTTTCTTCCGAGACTTCTTTCCCAAGTAGTTCCACTGGCAACCAAAACCATGCACGTGATCCAGCCCTCAGTTTCCAGTGTTGGAGGCTATGTCAGTTTCTCAACCATATGCTGCTGAATCTTCTCAGCAAGATGCTTTAACGAAAATGCTGAATGTACGGACCAGTGTCTCATCCCCAGAACATCTATTAGGAGCTAAATTTTCTCTGACCTTGCAAAATTTGTTGGATCCCCATAGTAACTCGGGAACAACTCTTCCCGGAACAGAGAAGCTAGATGATCAAATTGCTCAGACAGGAAATAGTAGCCAATCTGAGTTCCATGCAGACTGTGCTAAACCACAAAGCTTTGTTGGAGAAGAGAAACCAGCAAAAGCCCAGCTGGTATTGCAGAAGAATAATGAGATCCAAAATCCTGCAAGTATGCCAAAGGAAATTGAAGCTTTTGGCCGTTGTTTAAGACCAAACTATTCCTTGTTGCATCAGGTGCAGGCTATGAAAAATACAGAGGTTGATCCTAGTGATAGGAGTGTTAAAAGATTTAAAGGTCCACCTTCAGACTCTAGGTTGGATGCTCAGCAGTTAAGTTCCCAAGGCGTGGAGCAATTATCTTATGTATCAAATTCTATGATGGAAGATGCCCTGGTTGGTCGTCCTTTAATTCCTTCTGGAGATTCTCAAATTCGAAGCTCTTTACCAAATACAGGAGATAACCATGAGACACATTTGTCTGCTAATACTATGCTGCCATTTGTTCGGAATGTTTCCCAACATTTCTCCAATTCTGATAATTCAACTGCTAATATCAGTGGTCAACACTCTTGGATCAGTCCCCAGATGGCTCCATCCTGGTTTGATCAGTATGGGGCAATTAAAAATGGGAAAATGTTGCCCATATATGATGCTCGGAAAATTGCCATTATGAATGCTACAGAAAAAGCATTCATTGTTGGTCAGTCTTCTGACAGTTTGCATGTCCATACAAGTGAGCAGTTTACTACTGCCACTGATACTAGTCCTCTGGAAAAAGTCCGGCAAAGCTCAAATTTTATGCCAATAGCAAGTGAGTTTATCTCCCCTCAATCACTGCCACCTGATATTGTGAACCAGAATTTGGTTGTGAGAAGAAAGAAGCTCAAAAGTATGATATACGAGTTTCTACCATGGCATAAAGAAGTGACCCAGGGTTCTCAAGGGCCTCAGGACATCAGGTGAGTGGAGTCAATATTCCATTTCTTGCAATTGCTTTTTACATTATGCATATTAATGATCCAAAATGCTATAACATTTCTGAATGGTAATTTGCTAAAACGCAAAAACTGATTGCTATCTTTTCTCATCATCGTCGTGTTTTTCCTCTTTTTGGACTTGTCTGTTGACTACAGTGTGGCAGAAGGGGAGTGGGCTCATGCAGCAAGTCAATTGATTGAGAAGGTGTGTTCAATGTCAACTATCTTGAATATTTGTTATTCCATCTTAAAACTCTGACAGTTCTCAGCTTACACATTGGTTTTAATTGCAGGTTGAAAATGAATCTGAAAATTTTGAAGATTGGTGGCCACCAGTGCTTAGATCAAAAAGAAGGATTGTTTCAACCACACAGCTTATGCAGCAGCTCCTCCGTGCTCCTCCTAGGGTAGTTCTTTCTGCAGATGCCATCAAAAACTATGAGACTCTGGCCTATTTTGTTTCTAGATCAGTTTTAGGAGATGCATGCAGCACGGCATATATACCTGAAAGTGATACAGCTGCTCCTCCTGAGAGTGTAAGCATGTAAGTACTGGTTAATCAATTTTGAAATCCTTGAGCTCTGCTTTTATTGTCTCTCATATGGGGATCTTTTTTATTAGCATATTATCTTGTAACGTTTTTTTCCTCATTATCTGTCTTTCTGCTTTTAGTCTCTCTGAAAAGCTTAGGGAGGAGAGAAATCAATCCATCTTAAAGGCTGCAGAAGAGTTTATCATCAGGGCAAAGATGCTGGAAAATGTTTTACAGTGGTAACTTCCATAAACTTTTTACCAGTATCTTCGTGCATAATATCTTATCTAGTTTACCGTATACGTTTATGAATCTTGAAGTTCAACATTGTGGTAAGAAGTTCCGTCACAGCTCATCCATTTGATGCAAACTGCTTTAAAGTTGCAATTGAATAGTTAATGTGAGTTCTGGAAAAAGGGTGTTTGTGTACAAAATAAACACTAGGATTACAAAATCTAGTTCCATCCCCTATTTGAATTTCAGTCTATTCCAGGATTCAGCCATGAGCCCATGACTTGCATTATTACGTGTGGTTCGTTGATTTGCTTTATTTAAGAAGATTTTGATTAGGGCTAGACTGAACCTGGTAATTTATGCATTCTCGTCATTTATTATGCCGCGTCTAATATTGCCAAGTCTAGATTATTTTCTTTAGTTTGTTTCCTGATGCGGTATTTATGGTTTTGCCCTAACCTCATCATGATTATGACCTTGTGTCTAATATTTGCTCTGTATTTAAGCAGTCTGGGCAAAAGAGCCTCAATCTTGGACTTAAGACTGGAATGTCAGGATCTAGAGAAGGTTTCAGTCATCAATCGTTTCGCCAAGTTCCATAGCCGGGGGCAAGCTGATGGGGCTGAGACCTCATCATCCTCGAATGTAATTACGAGCTCTCACAAATTCTCCCAAAGATATGTTATCGCACTACCGATCCCTAAGAATCTCCCTGGTAGGGTACAATGTCTTTCGCTTTGATTATTAGTTGATCCCCACCCTTTTTTTTTTGGCTTTTCTTACTATGCTCCAAGTTCTTTTGCCCCTAATCGAAGCAAAGAAATGAAAATGTAGGATAAGAATCTCTTTGATCTTTTCACATTGTAGGCCATTGATGCTACACAATTCCTGAGAAATTCTTCTTGCTGATCAGAGTAAGCATTTGATTTCTTGTGGTTGTATGTATGCACGCATGCAATATGTATGAACAAATAATAAACTCGGTTCAGTGGTTGGATCAAATTGATGGAATGTTTTAAGTAACAAGGATCAAATGTGTTATTGTCCCGATTAGGACAAAATTGATTAAATGTAAAAGTAATAATGACTAAATGTGTTATTATATAAATTTAGTTAGTTTATCACGTAAGCAATTTTGTTAACAGTTAATAATCAGTGGTTTGCCTAAAATCAAAATGAAAGATGAGTGATTTATTTTATAAAAAAAAATTGTTCAGTGATTAAAACAGAATCGATCATGACCCTAGAATGGTTTTTGAAAAGAAAATACAGTTTCTCTTCTTGCCTTCACTTCTTCCTTCGATCCAAACAAATTATTCTGCCATAATAAATAGGCATAATGCCAAAGATAGCCCTTACCGTTTATTGAAATGGCTATTTTGACTCTTATTATCTTTCTTTAGAACATTTTGGTCTTCGATGTTTCATTTTGAGACAAAAAGTTCCTTCTATAGATGAAAATCATTAGTTAACACATAATTAATGTTTTAAAATATGAGTTTTTTTAACTTAAAATGAAATGTTAACGGCTAAAATGTTAAAGGAAAAAAGAATAAGGGATAAAGTGACCATTCTGTCAAATGTTAGCTGACTTTTTGCCTTAAAATGAAACATTGGAGACTAAAATTTTCCAAAAAATAGAATAGGGGTAAAATGACTATTTTAATAAATGTTGGGAGCTAATTTTAGTATTATGCCTAATAATTATTGTAAAATTTTCAATGAATGTTATTTTTAAATTACATTTTACAATCAAGTAATTTGATTAAAAAGTATTTTTATCTACATTATTTAGTTATGGGTAAATTACATGTTTAGTACTTATATTATTACTTTTATTCTATTTTGGTATCAAAACTTTATTTTTTTCAAAGTCATACTAACGTTTAATTTAAACTTCAATTTAGTACTCATTGTTAAAAACTTAATAGAATTATTGATGTGATATTTTTTGATTATTATGTGGTATTATTTTATAGTGATACATCAATTTTATGATTAAATTTTAACTGTAAGATACTAAAATAAATTTAAATTAAATATTATGTTTTAAAAAAATAAAATTTACATATCAAAACAAACCAAAATAATAGTTTAGACATGTAGTTCACCCTTTATTTGTTTGTTCATCGTGGAAATTGAAAGCAGAGACTTTTTTTCCCCAGTTCCCGCCCATCTACTACCAAAAAGATCCAGCACGTGTCTGAAAATCAAAGAAAGTTGACCTTCCTCTGCTATTGTGCCACGTATTCTCCGGTGGCCCAACTTTTTCGTTGTTCCTTTAACTATAAAAGTCTCCCCACCGGCGAATTTCAATTTGAATTTGAATTTGGAATTTAGTCGCCCCCACGTTGATTTAAACTTTCGGACACGTCACCGTGTCGGTCTCGCACTATTACAATTTTCTTTTACTGCTAATAAATAATAATAAAAATGTAGAGTATAAATTTTAATTACGAATTTGTAAATACAATTTTAGAATTATTAAATAATACGATAAAGTATACAAATGGTCTCTCATATTGTGTTACTTTGTTGGTTCTTCAACTATTAAAAATTATAAAATATTATTTTGATAAATCTATTGACTATTAAAAGTTATAAAATAATAATTTAATTATTTATATATTTCAAACTTGTCATTTTTTAATAAAAATTTGAATATCTTTTGAGCTATATGTTAACATATTGACTATGATATGATAAAATATGATCTTAGAATTGTCTAAGTTGTATTTTTTTATAGGCTCTTTGTTTATATTATGTCATCGAGTTAGTGCTCGAAACATTATGATGTCGAGTCAGTGCTTGAAAGCAACAAACGTACTAATAGATATCATTAAAATATAATTTTATTATATCCTAATCAACATGTTAACGTCTAGTTCAGACGATTGTCAATTTTTTTAATAGAAAAGGATAATTTTGGAAAATATAAATAGTCGGTGATTATTTTATATCTTTTAATAGTCGATGACTCAATAAAATAACGTCTTATAATTAGAAAACTATTTTGTAACTTTTGATATTTAGATGATTTAATAAATTAACGCCCTATAATCGATTGATCATTTGTGTAATTTACCCGGATAATATATAAATCGAGCCGGACCTTCGGAGACTATGGACAGGTGTACACGTGAATTAAGCTGTTTTCTTACAAACAGTCACGTTATTTCTTCGCACGTGCCATAAGTGTCGTATAATTCCCTCCTTTATAACATATGGCCGCATCCCATATTCCCCATCTATTCTCAGCTTTGCCTTGCTTCACTCTGCTTTTCTTTTGCTCTGAAACTCCAAGTTCTCATCAATGGCGGATCCAGCGACTATCTTTCCAGCTCCTCTGTTGAAAGACGAGCTTGACATCGTGATTCCCACCATTCGGAACTTGGATTTCTTGGAGATGTGGAGACCGTTTTTCCAGCCTTACCATCTCATCATAGTTCAAGACGGCGATCCTTCGAAGACCATCAAAGTCCCCGAAGGATTCGGTTTTGAGCTTTACAACAGGAACGACATCAACAGGATTTTGGGTCCTAAAGCTTCTTGTATCTCGTTCAAGGATTCTGCTTGTAGGTGCTTTGGCTACATGGTTTCCAAGAAGAAGTACATTTATACCATCGACGATGATTGTTTCGTAAGCTCAACATTTTATTAAATTCTTTTAATCTGTCGTATTTTCAGAGATCTGAGTTTCAATCAACTATTGAAATTCGAAATTGGGTTTATTTTATTTTCACTGTTTTTCATGCGGATTTTAAGCTTTAGATCTTGATGTGATATTTCAATGTTTTGTTTATAGATCTTGACTTGATTTTTGAATCTGAATGGTTTTTTTACAGGTTGCTAAAGATCCATCTGGAAATGACATTAATGCATTGGAGCATCACATAAAGAACCTCTTGAGTCCGTCCACTCCGTTTTTCTTCAACACCCTATACGATCCGTACCGGCCTGGTGCGGATTTTGTCCGCGGGTACCCGTTCAGTCTTCGGGAGGGTACTCCCACCGCTGTGTCTCACGGTCTCTGGCTCAACATCCCGGATTATGATGCACCGACTCAGCTTGTCAAGCCTCTTGAGAGGAACACCAGGTAATACATATAACTTTCAATGTTGATGATCCCTAGCAGAGAAATCTAGAATGGAAAATCGATTCGAATCGTAGTGGTTTTTGTTTGATTCATTATTTAAATGTATTTGTTCGATTCATTATTTATGTTTGGTTTGCTTTAGTCTAAGACTAAATCATGTCTAAAATTCCGATCAGGTATGTCGATGCTGTTATGACAATACCGAAAGGAACCATCTTTCCCATGTGTGGTATGAACCTCGCATTCAACCGTGAATTGATCGGCCCAGCAATGTACTTCGGACTCATGGGTGATGGCCAGCCTATTGGACGATACGACGATATGTGGGCTGGCTGGTGCACTAAGGTACCTTATCTTTGTTGCTACGGCCGTATATATGCTTCCTATTAAACCGCAGCCGTTAATCATATTTCCGTGTTATTACGCAGGTTATTTGCGATCATCTCGGATTGGGAGTGAAGACGGGATTACCATACATTTGGCACAGCAAAGCGAGCAACCCGTTCGTGAATCTTAAGAAAGAATACAAAGGGATTTATTGGCAAGAAGAGTTGATCCCGTTCTTCCAATCGATTACCCTCCCGAAGGATTGCACCAGCGTTCAAAAATGCTACGTGGAACTTGCCAAACAGGTGAAGGAGAAACTCGGCAAGGTCGACGACTACTTCAACAAGCTTGCAGATGCTATGGTGACATGGATTGAAGCATGGGATGAACTCAACCCATCAGGCGCAACCAAATCTGCCGAGTTGCCTAATGGTGCTTCTGCATAAACTCTCCTCACTTAGAACAGCTAGCGTTCCGTTTAGCTGCCAGCGGCTCGTATCTCAATGCCGATCATACATTTTTGTCCGATCTCTTGCATTAAAGCTTGGGATGATTATTTATTTACCATATTACTGAGTTTAGAAATCGATTGTCTGTCTTTTGCTTTTAGATTTGGTGGGTTATTATTGAGAGATTATTTCCCTTAAATATTCATATTGGATTTCATGTCCGTTTGTATCCAAAAATATTCATTTAATATCTACTATATTTTTGTTCTAGAAAATTGCACATCTAGCTCAGTTAGTAGAGTACAAAATTATTAACCTTGTGATCGTGGGATCGAGTCTCACTGAGAGCAATTTATAATGGAAGTCTTTTACGGAAGCTAATTTCAACTTGACGTTGGGGTAGTTTACTACCCTACCTTCCCATTATTACATTACATATGGAAATAGGGTCAGCTAAAGATATATTTTTATTCTCGAATTATAACTGTTTATTGAAGTTATGTATGTACATTAAATTTATCACCATGGTCATCATCTCCATGGCTGGCACGTCGGTCTGGGAAATGCCCCACCAACGAAACAAATGAACAAGCAAGAAAAATGACCATATTATAGTACTAAAATCTTATCGGCTGCCCTTTCTCCTTAATATTACTTGCATATCAAAATTTCCCACATTATTTTAACTCAAAATGACCATGACTTCATCACATTCTGGGTCACCAAAACTGTCTTAATCGATCCGTGGCTCGAGTTCATGTCTGCTCACTGTCTCTCCAACGTAAATCAGCTTCAAATTGTGTCAGAAATGACCGGCGAACAGTGGAGTTCTTAGGTGACGGCGGTTATTGATTAACAACAAAGGTGACAATAAGGTAATGGTTGTGGTTGATTCGAGTC